TCAGGCATACCAGTGTGGTATATCAGAAGTTTCCCAAACATACCCTAGAAGGAAGAAAAAGTTGGCTCTTTGGAGTTGGGGATAAAGAGAAAACAGGCGGGGCTGGGGATGTGGCTCAAGCAGTAGCATGCTGGCCTGGTATGCGTGCGGCCCGGGTTCGATCCTCAGCATCACAGACAAACAAACAAAGATGTTGTGTCTGCCGAAAACTAAAAAATAAATATTAAAAAATTTTATCTCTCTTTAAAAAAAAGAGAAAACAGGCTATCTGTGTGAAAAAGAGAAGGCTTTATGGAGGAGATATCTGAGCTACACAAGGAACACAGGTTATGATAAAGAGAAGGTATGGGAGGGCCATTCCAAGAAGAAGGAAGGTTTGGTTTTGTTTGGTACCGGGATCTGATCTACATCTGCAGCCCTTTTTATTTTTTAAATTTTGAGACAGGGTCTTGCTAAATTGCTTAGGACCTTGCTAAATTGCTGAGGCTGGCTTTGAACCTACAATCTTCCTGCCTCCCCAGCTGCTGGGATAACAGGCATGCACTACTGCACCTGGGAAGTTTTTTTGTTTGTTTTTAATGTAATTGTTTATCTAGGTTTTCTGAGGATCCTGTAAAATGCATAAGCACTTGGAAGCAGGGAGAAGCCTGAGGAGTCCTTTTTCAGTCAAATGGAGTACTGCCTCAGCCAAGGAGACTGGAGACTGTCAGCCTAATAACTTCCAACCATCTTTCTGTAGCCCAGAACTGCTAGGACTTACTGGAAAGTGAAACCACTTGTAAAGGGTAGTCTAAACTTACCTACCAAGTTGCTCCCATGGATCACATCCTGCGTTCTCCTTAATCCTTACAAGTATACACAAAATATATGTGGAAGTGTAAACAGACCCTACCCCCCAAAAGCAATCTGCCTGGGTATACTTTGTCACTTTTCACCCTAGGAGAAGGTAAAGCCTGAAAGATCCTGACATTGTAATAAGACTGGGGAAAGGGGGGAGGCTGGGGTTGTGACTCAGCGGTAGAACAAGAGCCTAGCATGTGTGAGGCTCTGGGTTCAATCCTCAGCACCACATAAAAATAAAGGTATTATGTCCAACTATAACTAAAAAAGACAAAAAAGAAAAAAAGATTAGGAAGGGGACATGGACAATTGAGATTTGGAAAACAAGAAAAGGCATCAGGTTCCTCCCCACCATAAGTCCTCCTGTTCTTTTTTTCCTTGGACACACTCTCCATTCTTGTCTATGGCCTGTGTACACTGGCTGCCAGCTGGCTGCCAGCTACCTGACCTACTTGTCCCAAGGACAGCTAGGATTAAGTAGACTTTGAGTCCTCTTTTACGTAAAGTATTTTTCATAGGCAATGACTTTAATTTAACAGGCGGCATTTCTGGCTCCATCTTGGGGTGAGGTGGGGTGGTCTGAAACTCAATTTGTGGAAAGTCTTGTGCTCCAGGGAGGATAATGACCCTTTATATGAACTGAAGTCTACCTTATTCCTGGGGACAGAAGGCTCTAGAGACATTGTATGATACATGAAGCTTCTTTTCCAAAATTGAATTTTTGTACCCAAAATTGGTACCAGAAGCTGAAACATCCCCAAACCTCCATCCAGGATCCTCCTGTGAGAAGCTGGAAAATAAACCAGACATGACTCAGCATCAGATTCTTCTCCCTCTCCCCAGCCAGAATGAAAGAAGCAAGCAGGCTCCTCCCCAGTGGATGGCCACATCCTCACCACAAACTAAGTCATGGTCACACCCAGCCTGAATGGAAAATTACCAGGAGAGGAAGGACAAGAAGGTTAAACTCAGTTTTTTAATTCTCAGTCCAGAATCACAGCCATCTATTCTCCAACTGGAACTAATTGAGGAAAACAGTTCTCTTCCTGCCTCTATCCCTAACCAAGTATGTCCAGGTCTAAAAGAAGTGATGCTGTTTGAACCCAGATCTACTTGAAAGGTAGAAGGCTTATGATGCCTTGTTGCTCACACCTGGCTTTAACAGACATCCAGTTTCCTCACCTCCAAGGTAGACAGGACCAGGTTGGGGAAAGGGAAAACCCTACTCAAATATTCCCTCCAGGCTGCGGGAAGGTTTCTCTCCAGAACGTTTCCCTGCCATTAAGGCATTCTTGTGTTTGCGATGTTTTAATTGGACTTATTTTACCTAATGTTTTGAATTTTATCATATACAATTATCTGTGGTTTACAAACTTCTCAGATCCACAAAGTCCTGCTTTTCTGTGAAGCACTATGAAATGGTCTATTTAATTGTTATAATTTTATTGGCATAGAAAGATTATGATTATGAATATGCTATTTTTAAGGAGATACTATGAGGCTAGCTCAGTTATTTGTTTTTCTGGTATACTCTAGTTCATTCCTTCTTATCCCATCACTTCCTACTACTTGCCATATCACATGCTGAAATGCTTACAATTGAGAAAAATCTATTAACAAATTCTGAAATTGAACAAAAACGTAGTTATACCATGTCAGTAGCCACATACCTACTACATCCAGTTCCAGGAACACCACTGAGGACTTTTTGAGAATCTCCAGGGAAGTAAAAGAGTAGTTAAAGAGCTCAGGTTCTAGAGTTGGGGATATTGGTTAAAAACTCAGTTTATGCTGAGCAAGGTGGCATACACCTGTAATCCCAGCAGCTCAGGAGGCTGAGGCAGGAGGATTGTGAGTTCAAAGCCAGCCTCAACAGCAACTCAGTGAGACCCTATCTCTAAATAAAATACAAAATAGGGCTGGGGATTCGGCTCAGTGGTCAAGTGCCCCTGAGTTCAATCCCTGGTACTAAAACAAACAAAAAAAAAACATCACCACCACCAACAAAAAAGCCCAATTTACCGTAGCCCATTAAGATCTCTATAGAAGGGCTAGAATTGCGGCTCCGTGGTAGAACACTTACCTAATTTGTGTGAGGCACTGGGTTCAATCCTCAGCACCACATAAAAATAAACAAATAAAGGTTAAAAAAAAAAAAAAGAATGCTTTAAAAATATTTAAAAAAATAAGCTCTCTAAAGAAAACCAATTTTCTAATCAGGATTAAGTGAAAAAAGCATCTGTAGGGCTGGGGATGTGGCTCAAGCAGTAGCGCGCTTGCCTGGCATGCGTGCGGCCCGGGTTCGATCCTCAGCACCACATACCAACAAAGATGTTGTGTCCACCGAGAACTAAAAAATAAATATTAAAAATTCTCTCTCTCTCTCTCTCTCTCCTCTCTCACTCTCTCTTTTAAAAAAAAAAAAGTATCGGTAAAAGCTTGAAAGCCACAGAATATTAGTTTAAGAGTCAGGCTGTTTGTCACTAGTTGTAGATACGGTAAATTACTTGTCCTCTGTGCCTCTGTTTGCTCATCTACAAAATATCAATAATACCACCTAACAGCAACATAGGCTTGTTATGAGAATTGAACCAATGTATGTGAGAGCTTTCACCAATGCCAAACACACAGTAATATAAAATGTTAAACAAATTATTAAAATGCTTAGCATAATACCCAACACTTAACCTAGTAAGAAATAAGAAGTGTTAGCTATCTGAATTACTGCACAGATGAGTTGCAAAGGTTCTCCCAGGAGACAGAAATTTCAGTTAGTGTGGGCTCACTGATAGGTAATTTACTTGGTGAAAGAGGTATTTCTCCTAAACCGAGAGCCTTAGGAAACTTACAGTGTCAGAACATAGTAGATGTTTATTTGTTTATTCTCTTGAGATGGGGTTATGTATATGTCTCACTGGCTTGCCCAGGCTGGCCTACAACCAGGCTCAAGTGATACTTCTGCCTCAGTTTCCCCCAAGTACTTGGGACTAGAGAAGAGCATTACCACACCTAACTAGAATGTAGTAGTCTTGATCAAGAAGGAGTAAAGAGCCAGGAGCAATTGGGTATAGCTGTAATACCAGTGGCTCAGGAGGATGAGGCAGGAGGATCCCAAGTTCAAAGCCAGTCTCAGGAACTCAGTGAGGCCCTAAGCAACTTAGTGAGACCTTGCCTCAAAATAAAAAATAAAAAGGGCTGGGGATGTGGCTCAGTGGTTAAGCATCCCAGTATTTAAAAAAAAAAAAAAAATCCCTCAAAGAGCATAGGGTATCTAAGTAAGAAAGTATTTCTAAAGTTCAGCAGAGGTAATGAAAAGACAATACATAGTCTAGAATAGGCATTATAAATCAAAAACTATAACAGAATTTAAAAATCTACCTTTGTAAAGTCAGGCATTTAGAATGTGTTTTGCATTTTCTGTGCTTATATGCCCATTTTTATTAATATTTCATAAAATATTCAGAAACATCCATTATGTCTCAGCAATGCTTAGAACTTTAAGAAGTACAGCTTGAAAGGCCAGCAGCCTTTCTTAAACAAAACCCCAATTTTCCAAGATTACCAAGGTGGTGAAGGAAGGCAGCTGTTTCAAGATAACTGTTTCAGTGAGTTCCATCTTCTCCTTACAGAGATTCCCATTGCAAATCTTCTTCTGACTATCACCCCCACATACACACACCTTTTTTGTTTTCCAGTACTGGGGGATTGAATCCAGGGCCCACACCTGCTACAATCCAAGTCCTTTTTTAAATTTTATTTTGGGATACAGTCTTGCTGACTTACTGAAATTTATCCTCCTTCCTCAGTCTCCTAAGAAGCTAGATTACAGTTTTGTGTCACTGTATATATAGCTCTTCCCAAACTGCACTTATTAGAAATCTGAGTTACTCTGGCCTCAAAGGCCCTTTTAAATCTTGATTAACAATCACTAATGGTATTCTTTATTCTCAGTTTCATCTGCATGACTGATAGATTTTCTACCTTTACCCATTGATACAAATGCTAACAGATCTGTAGAATACAACATTAAAAGGATTCAGCTTTGACTTCATACAACACAAATAGTCCTGACTATGGGAATAGTCCACTCTTCCCACTCACCCCCTCTGGAACCTTGGGGTAGGTTCTGGGCCAAGGCTATTCAGACCACAGTGATCATATCCAGTCCACAGCACCTTCCATTTTATTGTTTTATTTACAAACAGAGTGAAGTCAATTGGGCAAATCAGGGGTTGGAATCAGTCTGGGCCATCCAAATGTGGAATGGTTCCTGGGTCAGTCTCCACCATGAAGGTTGTCTCTTCTATCCTTTTCCTGCCCCTTGACAATGGCCTCTTGATTCCTCAGGGCAGCCTCACCTGCTGCGACTGAGCCCTTTAATGAGGGCAGATGTATCCTGGGGGAACAGGGTGGTACGAGGGCTGGGGCCCCCTTAGTTTGTGTAAACCTGAGTTCCGATCACACGCATGATTTCCTTCTGTATCTTGGGGTCCTGAGTATTAATGTTGGCATCGCCCACCTGACCATCCTCATATCTGCCAAAGACAGGGCGAATGTGAGCATAAGGGAGAATAATACCTGGATAATGCCAAGTAGTAGAACTGTATCTCAGAAGGTAGACACCCCATCCCAAAGTTAAAAAAAACCCTTGCTACTTTTAAAGATGAAAGGGATTCAGCTTATCTGGTTTCCTCTAAACAGATCCCAGTGATCTGTACTCATCCCCATCTTCCAAGGTCAAAGTCCCAGTGCTAGCTCTACTCATGCAGCAGGAGACAAGTCTCAGATAATGGAAAAGGACTTTTCCCAGTACCACCACCCTCACTCTTCAAGTATTATCCAGGGTCCCTATTAGACTTACACAAAGAAGAACCTTGTGCAGACATGGTCGGACACAGGGCACACCCAAATGTTCCCATGCTTCTGGAGGTCCTTAGATGTAATCACTGGGAAGAAGGAGGCCAGAAATTATAGATATGATGCTTAAGGCACAGAGTCCAGGTAGGGGAGGGAAGACATGATGCTTCAACATCACCCTTGGCTGAATCACATATCAAAGATGAATCAGAAATGAAGGTTGGAAAACCAATTAAATTAGGACTGGACAAACTACCTACCTTCACAAAGTGCTATACAATTTAGATTCCGACTCTGCAGGAACCTTGACTGAATGGATCGAGTCTGAAAAAGGAGGAGGCAAAGGTGAACAAAACCAAATATACTGTTAGGGCTTTCCCCAAACAGGCTCATTAGCTGGTGATAATGGGGAAGGGATTAGGGATCTCCTGAGCTTCCAACCACCCTCCAAAAGTTTGCTTTCCCATAATCAGTCTGGATAGGCCCAAGGCTTCCATCTTTACTATTTTTTTTTTTTTTTTTAAACCAGGGGCACTCGGGGCTGGGGCTGTGGCTCAGCGGTAGAACACTCGAGGCGCTGGGTTTGCTCCTCAGCACCACATAAAAATAAATAAAATAAAGGTATTGTGTCCAACTACAATTAAAAAAAAAAAGAAGAGGAGGAGGAATTCTTAAAACAAAACAAAAAAAAAAAACCAAAAAACACTGAGCTCTATCTTGTTAAGTTGCTTAGGGCCTCACAGTAAGCTGGGGAGGCAGGTTTTGAACTTGCAGTCATCCTACCTCAGCTTCCCAAGTCACTAGAATTACATGCATGAGCCACTGTATCCAACTTATCTTTACATTTTCATCTAAACTCAGTCTCTGCTTTCACACTTAGGAAAGAAACCACATGTTACTCAGGAAGTGTGTCCACCTGAAGGCATACCTGATTCTTTTAAATGAGCTTCAAATCACCCCAGATCCACTCTTTCCCCACCCATCTTTGTAACCTAAACTAGCCCCAGAGAAGAATCCTACCTCCTTACAACAGAGCCAACTAATAATACCTGGGGGATGGTATTCATCCTGTTATATCTCTGGACCAGCTCATCCTTGGAGGGCATCCTGTGCTGTCCTTTTCCCATTCCTGTCACAGAACAGCAAGCTCTGTTCAATCATCGATTCCTTAATCAAATATTTACTGAAATACCTACTATGTATCAGGTACTGAGCTAGACACTTGGCAATACAGAACCAAATAAAACAAGATATTTGCTCACACAGAATTTAGTCTGGTGGAAATTACAGGCAACAAACAAGTAATTACAACACAGTATGGTAAGGGTTGTGATGAAGAGATTATAGAGCACTGTGTGATCCAGAGAAGGGGAAATGCCTAACCCAGGGGTTTGAAGAAGTTGTCCTTGTGACAGGCTGAGAACTACAGGACTGAGAAGAGTTAGTTAAAGGGATCAAGTATTCTGGGCAGAAGTAATAGATATGGAAAATCTGCAGGAAAAATAAAGTCATGTGCCTTAGTTTGTACAGAATGGCAGAGGAATTGCAACGAATGATGTGGGAAAGGTAAGCTACCCTTGTAGGTCATTTAAAGGCAACTGGAATTTATCCTCAGAACCCCAGGGAACTATGAAGGGTTTTATTCATAATGGAATAACACTGGAAATAAGCCAGGAATTAGGAGACTAGAAGAATCAGCTATCAATACCTCAGTGTCAAATGATTGACAAGCTGAATGAAATGAATGGAGAGGAAGTTACCAGAGCAATTCAGATATGCTCTAGTCTCAAAGTTACATAAAAAATTCTGTTCAGTCATTCAGGAAAAAAAGGAGAAAGCAGAGCACTTACATGATAAATTTCCACAGGTGATCATAATGGCAACTAAACTGAAGAATCCTACCTTTTTTCTCAAGTCTTGAGAAAGAAGGGCCAATTCCTTCTAGTTTACACATTATCTAAAATCATAAATCCTCCATCATACTTACGCCACAATAAAGAATCAATGTTTATAACTTTATCGACTATACCAGAATTTTTAGATAAACATGAAACAATGCCTGTGTCCCTACTCCCAAATCTTTTTGGCCTTAGGATAGGACCTCAGTTTCTGTACTTAGCTTTATCACAGACCCAGGTAGGGATAAGAGTATGTGTGTGTATTCATGTGTTTGACAAAGAGGGAGACTGACGAAGATGAAAATGATGCCATAGTTACAAGTCATAGCAGAACTCATATATCACCATCCTATTAGTACTAGCTCCACTCTGCTTCAATTCTTGGTTTTGTGATAGCCACGGTGTAGAAGTGGGAGGGATGACCATCGGACTGACATACTTCACTGATCAGGATGTCAACTCATCATGCATTCACACTAAAGTGTCATGAAAGATTCATGGCCTGAACAAAACTCAGAACAATGAAAACTTCTCAGCTTGAATTGCCAATTCCTTCCTTCTAGAGTATATTTACCATCCGTCAATTTCTACATCTCCGTTATTTTAACAAGGTTCAGCTCTGCATCCAAATATGACTACCTCAGCCTGGCTATTTCAGCAACACGGTTCCAAGACAAAATCCCATTCAAGTTCTAGTCCAGAGGAAGAAGACAGGAGGATAAGAAAGAACAATCTGATTTCTACAGTGGATCTTAGAGATGGGGCTTATAACATAACTCAAATCTTGTCTCATCCCAGTCCTGTATACTGTCCTATACTTAATGACCCAAATGATCTTTCTGTTTCCATGTCTAACAGCATCCCCTGAGAATATAGTTTTTATAATAATCTCTGGATACTTGGTGTTCAGATAATGCACTTATCAGAAGTCCCCAAACAAGACTTAAACAGATGGAGTTTACCAACTCCTTTCAAATTGTCCCTCATTTCAACCTGCACACTGTGGCCAAATCATCTAAGGATCCATTGATCAAATGGTTGCTCCCTCTTCAAGGGGTACCCAATGTCACCAGGCTAAAGGTACCCTAAGGAAGAAAAAACCAAAAAACCTGAGAATGGAGAAGGAAACATAAGATAGTTGGTCAAATGCCAGAATAACTATGGTAAGGCAAGACATTTGCACACATCTCACTCAAAGTTATATAACATTCAAATACCTACAGGGATCTCAGAGACCCAGTGTTTCAAGCAAAGCCCACCTTATCAGTCCAACAGAGTGATAATATGGTCTAGATGTCAGGAGATTTGGATTCCAGTCCTAATTCTGCTACTCATAGCCATATGACCTTGAGAAACTCATCTAACTTTTCTGCATATCTGCATTCTTATCTGTAAAGTAATAAGGAACTGGACTAGATGACCTATACTCCAGTAATAAAATCATACAATAGTGTGGATCTGTAATCACCACTTTCTGAGAGGAAAGGAGGACAGAGATATTAGATGTTTATATATAATTAGTGAAGTGTTAAGGAAAGACAAGAAGTCCATAGAGATTCCTGGCTCCATCTGATAACTACAAGTATTCAGGTACTTAGTGGTAAACAAAGGCCTCTAGGAGAAGAGAGAAGGAAAGAAAGGAAATAGAAAACAGAAAAAAATAATATTTTTTCCTCTTTTTGAGTTACTGGGGATCAAACCCAAAGGTGCTCAACTACTAAGCTACATCCCCAGCCCTTTTTATTTTTTTGAGACATTTTGAGATGGGGTCTTGCTAAGTTGTCCAGGCTGGCCTCAAACTTGCAGTCCTCCTGCCTCAGCCTCCTAGTAGTTGAGATTACAGGTATGTGCCATCACACTTGGCCAGGAAGGAAAACTTTGGGCACTAAGCCAAAAGAATCTCATTACTCAGAAAGTAATGAGAGCTTAATCAGAGAGCTCCTCAGGATGAGACAAAGGTAAAAACTGAGGAATTCAGACAAGTTTAGACCTCAGTCACACACAATAAGATTCATGCACACATTCAATAAATATGTATCAGCAGTTACCCTGTGTGGATTACTCACAACCTTTGTTTCATGAAACACTGTTTATAACAGGATAATAAATATGTAGAGACCTGATCCAATAACTAAGTCCAAGAACTAGAACTCCAAGTGACTTATATCTAAGGGTAACCACACTCTTGAGATTTGGGTTATTATTATTTTGTGGTGCTGGGGATCAAAATCAGGTTTTCATACATGCTAGGAAACCACTCTTCTACTGACTTACATCCAGGGTTATTATTCCTTTGCTTTCATTTTCCTTCTTCTTCCCTTTTTTATTTAGTTTTAATTAATATACATATATCCCTAGACAGTGTTTAATATTGTCTGCTTTTGGACAATATAAAAAAGGCATCATGCAGTATATAGTCTTTTGGAAATTTCACTTCTTTACTCAACATGTTACTAAGATTTTTCCATGCTGTTACATTCTAATGCTGTCATTTATTTTCATTGCTGAATAACAATTAATTATAATATTACACTAGAATGTATTTATCCATTTTCTGATGAGCACTGGGGCAGTTTCCAAGGTTTGCTGTTATAAATAATATTGTTTTATACATTCCTGTATACATCTTTGGGTGTGCATATGCTGGAATGAAAATGCTGGGTCAACAGTGATAAATCTCTTCAGCTTTATGAAATAACACAAAAATTGCTTTCTAAAATGGTCACACCAATTTATATCTCCATAGACTATTAAAGGAGATTCTGCTGATCCACAATTGTCAGCACAATAAAAAACAGTATCAGATTTCTTAATACTTGCCAATCCACATGGGTACTAAATAGGTCATTTTGGTCTTAACTTCTCATAAATTGCAGGTGATCAGTTTTTCATATTTTGGAATATGAAATACTTCTTCAGTGAAATGCCTGTTTATGTCATTTGCCTATTTTTTCAATAGGCTGTCTTTTGCTTCTGATTTATAAGAATTTTTACAAAACACTTTTTTTTTTTGGTAGCATTGGGGACTGACCCAGGGCTTCACACATGCTAGGAAATGTCCTAACACTGAGCTTACATCCTCAATCTGTAAATTGCATTTTTATTACTAATCTTATGTGGTAACATGTGTTGGTTTTTTTTTTTTTTTTTTGGTACCAGGGATTAAAGTCAGGGGCACTCAACCACTGAGTCACATCCCCAGCCCTATTTTGTATTTTATTAGAGACAGGGTCTCACTGAGTTGCTAAGCGCCTTGCCACTGCTGAGACTGTCTTTGAACTTGTGATCCTCCTATCTCAGCCTCCCAAGCAGTGGCAGCTAGTAATAAGTATTCCAAGAGTCTTCTCCTGGTTTGTACTTTGTTTTTGTCAAATGGAAGTTCATCTTTTATGATATGTAATTCCATCTTTTTCTATTCTCTGGAACACTTTGTATAAAGATTAGGATAATTTGGTCCCTGAAAGTTGGGTTTAAGACTCATTTATAGCTGAATACAGCAACACATGCCTGTAATCCTAGCAACCTGAGAGGCTGAGGCAAGAGGATTCCAAGTTTAAAGCCAGCCTCAGTAAATAAGCAAGACACTGTCTCAAAATAAAAAAATAAAAGGGATGGGGGATATAGCTCAATGGCAAAGTGGCCCAGGTTCAATCCTAGTACAAACAAAAAACAAAACAAAACAAAAACCTACTTATAAAACTATCTGGGAACTTGATGTGATGGTGCACACCTGTAATCCCACCAATTCGGGAGACTGGGGCAGGAGAACCCAAGTTTGAGGCCAGTGGTAGAGCGCCCCTGGGTTTAAGCCTCAGCACTACAAAAACGAAGAGCAAGAACAAGAGGAGGAATAGCAGGAAGAAGAGAAAGAGGAAAAGGAGAAAGAGGAGAAGGAGGAAGAAGGAAAAGAGAAAAAGTAGGAAGAAGAAGAGGAAGGAGCTGGGGTTGTGGCTCAGTGGTATAGTGCTTGTCTTGCACATGTGAGGCACTGGGTTTGATCCTCAGCACCACATATAAATAAAAAAAGGTATTGTGTCCATCTATAACTGAAAAACAAAGAATTTTTAAAAAGAGGAGGAAGAGGGATAGCAGGAAGAAGAGGAAAAAGAAGAAGGTAGAGAAAGAGGAGGATAATGAAAGAAAAAAACTATCTGGAATTTGGAGGTATAGGTCTGTGCAATCTGGAATTTGGAGGTATAGGTCTGTGCATGATGGAGACCCTGGGAAGGATGGAAGGAAGGAAGAAAGGAAGGAAGGAAGGAAGGAAGGAAGGAAGGCAGGCAAAAATCTAGGCTTGGTGTGTTGCTTTTTAGAGGAAAAATGTAAACTTCTTCTATAGTTTTATGGCCACTCAGGCTTTTGATTTCTTTTTGAGTCAATTTTATTGTTATATTTTTCTAGGAGTTCATCTTTTTTGTCAGTTGTCAAATTATTGATATAAAATTTACAGAGTTTGTTTTGCAGTGATGGGTGCCAAACTCAGGACTTCATGCATGCTAGGCAAACACTATACCACTGAGCTATACCCCAAGACTTTTTATTTTATTTTGGGACAGGGTCTTGCTAAATTGCTAAGTCTGGCCTTGAACTTGGAATCCTCCTGCCTCAAACTCCAGAGTAGCTGGGATTAAAGGTGTGTACCACCCATGCCCAACTCAGAATTCACTCATTAGCTTTTAAAATTGTTATATCTAGGGCTGGGGATGTGGCTCAAGCGGTAGCGCGTTCGCCTGGCATGCGTGCTGCCCGGGTTCGATCCTCAGCACCACATACCAACAAAGATGTTGTGTCCGCCAACTAAAAATAAATAAATATTTTAAAAAAATAAAAATAAATAAATAAATAAATAAAATTGTTATATCTAGAATTATATTACTTTTCTGTTTGCAATATTTATTTGTGCTCCTAAATTCTAAGTAGCCTATGTACTGTATCTGCTTTATCTCATTGATTTTGGTTTTTACCTACATCATCTCCTTTCTTCTTCTTTGACTTACTCAGTTGTTACAAGAGTTTTCCAGTTCTGAGATTCTGGTCATTTATTTTCTGACCTTTACAATTGTTATAATCACTGCGAATACTAAATAATAATCTACAAAGAATCTAGTACAACTGCCTTCATACAGTTGACATGTAACTACACGAAAGCCATTCTTTATCCAGAGATTATACTGATAAAGTAGCAAAAAAAAAAAAAAAAAAAAAAGAAACAAAAGCAGTCTGAAAAGGAACTGAGACATGAACCAGGAAGGCTAAGAATTCTAAGTCATATTCTTTTTCCAATCTCTGAGCTAGACAACTCTGGACTCATTTCTTCACCAGGCTCTAGACCTCATTCATGTCTAACCTTTGGAATAACATACTTCTTTTTCTTGTAGTCAATGTATATTATGAACAATGTTTGATTATGAACAGTTAAGCTTTTAAAAAGTGGTTGACAGAACAAGGTCTCCAGAAATATAAGCCAATGAAAAGAATTCAAGCCTTTGGGTATATTCACACATAAAGTCACAGGCACAAAAGCATACAATTCACAACTGCCAACATGACAACTATGGTCTACAAAAACCCTGTTTCACTTCCCAACTATTCCTTAACCCATTCTGAGGGCCCAAGTTCCTACAATTAATAAAACTACCATTTTTAACAATATCTGACCTCACCTCAAATAGAATTTAAAGTTCTAATGAGAGAAAGTAGAGACAGACTATGTGTCCATGATTGAGGAGAGAGCTGACATAGACCAAATATCCACAATGGGGAAGAAGATGACAGCACAGATCATGTTGTCACAAATGGATACAATGTAAATAGAGTCAAGGTGGCCAGAGAGTATTTCTTACCTGAGTATCCAAAGGAAATACTGGAGATGGGGCTCAGGTAGATGCCTTTGCCATAGGCTGCTCCATGCAGCTTGCAGGGAAACACCAGGATGAACATATGAGCCTGGGCCCTCCCATGGCTATATATTAGGCATCCACAAGGCTTATCCAGACCTCTGTCCCTCCATCTACCTTCTCATACATTCAAATTAATAGTAGGCACCTACTCTTATAAAACTGATAGGTTGAAAAGTGGATTTACATTAAACTGTTTGCCTATTATATATTAAATATTAATGTCTTGGTGAGTGGGGAGTGGTAGAGTCACTGAGTCAGTCCCTCAAAATCCACAGTCCTATCCCCAAGCCTTGGCATACAGGCAGATTCCAACAGGAATTATAGAAGAGGTCGCCAGGAGGAGGAACAACAACCATTCTCTGAAGTTTCTCAGGGTAAAGAAACAAGTCTTCATATCAATTCCTAAATAGCCACATAAATAGAGAAGTTCTATCTAATGTGAATCTATTGCAGTAGCTGAAACCAGCAATTCCGCATCCCTAACTATATGTATATTCTCATTCCCAAAACCACCAAAAAATACAGCCCAACTTCAAATAGACAATAGCCACGTTCATTCTATACGTATAATTCCAACTTCCCCTCTAAGGAAGCTCCCCAGACTAAGCTTCAGGATGTGGAGGCAAAAACATCTGAGTATTCTAGAGCTGCCTTCCTCAAAACTTAGTGGGGTAGGTAGAGATGGAGAGAAAAAAGAAAGAGACACAGTCTCACCTGCAGTTTGGTGTAGGATGCATTGACTAGCCCATTGCGCAGGATTGAATGCCAGTTCTCAATGTGGGACCCACTGCAAAGCAGGGTAGAATATATGATTCTTTGTGGCATAAGGTTTTCCAGAGCATTTTCAAGAGTGCCATCCCCACCCATGGTTACCCACACGAAACATTAAGATTGGCACAAACACACCTAGAGATGGACATGCACATGGATAGTCACAGGCAAGTAGATGTATGTTTGTGGTTAAACACAGTATCTGCATTTCCCATCCTATCCTCTCTTCTGGCCTTCAGCTAATCACATCCTAACTTTCAATACTGAACTGCTGATTCAACATTTTCACTTGCCTATTTTCCTGATAATTCAAATTCAACAAATTTATCTCAAACCCGTCAAACTTATTACTAATTCCAAATGGGCCTTCCAGTCCAGACTACTTTAAGAACACTACCACTCCCTCTAAATTAGCTTTTACACTTTCTTTCTTTCTTCCCTCCCGCAATTAGGCATAAATTGTGGATTTCCTTTCAAAGTTTTGAAATCTATCACCCCTTCCATTTGGTTCCTTCAACTATGTCATTTTATAAGTATCATTTCTCTTCAACTGTATCATAAACAAGTTGATAACATAACCATGTCATGTTTCGTTTTATCCTCTACAGCATCTACCAGCATTTAATAAATATTTGCTAACTAGTTGAGGGACACAGGTAATATAAATTCATACCTCAAAGGCACCCCCACCCCCGGCCCACTGCTGCCCACCCTCCACCCTCCTCACTGGAAGGCAAAGGTGCTGCCATAGAGCTTCTTGGCGGTCCGGAACCGAGCCTCCTTGGCAGGAGGGCTGCTCAGCAGGAGGAACTGGTGTGAGGTGTGCATGAACTTCAGCTGCTGCCCAGGGTGGGGGTGCGGTCAGGAAAACAGAGCAGAAATGGAGATCAGGGAGGGAAGGGTTGGGGATAGGGAACAAATTAGGCTTAAACTGACCCCAAACAAAGAAATATGATTAGGTCCAAAGATTATGTTGACATACAGAGCCAATATGGCTAATGTGATCAGCTGGCTTGGAACCCCTGTTGCCCCTTCACCACAAATTTGAAGGGTTTAGAGGAAGAATGATCACTTACCCTGCTGAGAGGTAGTTTGACAATGTGTGACCTGTTGCTAGAGATGATCCTGGGAAGAAACAGAGAAAAAAAGAAAAGGATAGAATAAGTATAGGGTTAGGTTATCCTGAACAGTCTTCCTTTGACCCTGGGAGAACAAGCAAGAATTACAGCATTGTTGAATTGTGTGATAAATCCAGGTCACTATCTGAATATTCCTTTTGAGTGACAATGCTCATGTATAAAATTTTAAAAGGGAACCTACTGTCCAGAGAACAGTTAGTTATTGGGAGTTAAACAATGGATAAAGAAAGGAAAGGGTATGAAATAAGTCACTACATCCAAGGAGAGAAAAGGATGGAACAAAAGGAATCCTACAAGAAGTCACCTATTTTTAAAAAATAGAAAAAGAAAAAAAAAGAGAAATAAAAGGAGAGACCTGAATTAGGAATGATGACAACTTAAACCAGAGATTTAGTCTCAGAACTGGGTCTCAGGAGCCATCTTGCCTGAGCTCAGAGAAGGCTGAAGACTCTCAGAGATGGAGAAAATGAAAAGAAAGTTACGAACTAAACTGGAGAAAGAAACAAAATAAACTAGAATGAACTTCCTGAGAAGTCAAGGACAGACCAGGCTGTACACAGGCTGTACTCAGAACAGGAGAGGACAAAGGCATAAAATATTGAAGTCTCAGCAAGACAGCACTCTCCTACAGTGAATACAGTTTGTTTATTGTGCCTCATCCATATACTTGATATCAGCCCTATGCCTGGGCAATCATTTTTATTCTTATTTAAATTCTTTTTTTTTTCAGTTACAGATGGACACAATACTTTTGTTTTATTTATTTATTTTTTATGTGGTGCTGAGGATCAAACCCAGTGCCTAACATTAGCTAGGCAAGCATTCTATCACTGAGCCCCAACCCCAGCCCCCAGAGCAATCTTTTTGGCAAAAGGGAGGAAGCTGTTGCACTGAGAAGAACTGATGTCAAAGGTTGACTAGTAAGAGAAAGGCAAGCAAGAAAAAGAAAGCTGTCAAGAAAACAAAACAGAAATCATGGTCAGGGAGGGCAGGCAGTAGGAATATTCAGAATCTTTGCTAATAGAAGTGAATAACAACAGTACCTCAGACTCTAGACATTCAATATCAGGGAACATGCCGGGACAAGGAAAGAAGACAGGATAGACAGACCTCTCAGGATGCACAGAAAACTTAGCTGACTAATAAGTCAGCTAATTCCTATGTGCAAGGAACACTCAAAAACCTATCAGTAACAACAATATTTAATAAAAATGCATTGAAAATTGCCAAGAGTAGATTTTAAGTGTTACCACCATAAAAAATAACTATGTGAGCTAATGAGTATGGTAACTGGCTCTACTGAGACACTCCACAATGCATACCTATTTCAAAACATCATGTTTTTATGAGAAACATACAATGTTTATTTGTCAATTAAAAATTAGCCAGGGCTGGGATTGTGGCTCAGTGGTGGAGCACCTGCCTAGCACATGTAGGGCACTGGGTTCAATACTCAGAATCATAAATAAATAAATGTATATATATATATGTATGTATGTATGTATGTATTTATGTTAAAAAAAAAAGCCAGGTATAGCAGAGCACACTTTAATTCAAGTGGCTCAGGGGGCTGAGGCAAAAGGAGCAAAAGTTTGAGGGCAGCCTCAGCAACTTAGTGAGACTGTCTCAAAACGTAAACATTTTTTTTAAAAAAAAAGGGCTGGGGATGTAGCTCAGTGGTAAAGCATCTCTGGGTTCAAACTCCAATACCAAAACAAAGAAACAAAAAAAAAAAAAAATTAAGAAAACAAACAAATCTTTTGGGAAACTTTTTTTTTTTGGGTACTGGGGATTAAACCCAGGGCCTTATGCATGTGAGGCAAGCACTCTACCAACTGAGCTATATCCCCAGCCTAGGAAACATGGAACACTAAAAAAAAAATTTGTGAACTCTATGTAGGATCTAAATTTCTGTCAGGGCATGATATGTCAATAGCAAAACTCAAAAAAAAAAAAAAATCCATACTGCCTAAAACCTTGTGAAGAATACTGAAACCACCTTTAAGGGGTGCAGGCTCTATATCTAAAACCTTCCCCCTTCTCTATTGCCCCAAGAAGGGTGAACCACTCTATCCATACCATTGCAGGAGAGGATGAGCCAAGGGGTCCAGCTTGTCCATCTGCTTCTTGATTTCCAAATATGAGCCCTGTAAGACAATTATCATAAGATTATCTCCCAGGAGAGATGGGAGCCCTCCCACTTTCCATAAACTGACATCAGAACCCAGGGCAAGGGTATTGAACGCCACATAGAGAAAGAGGACATGGGGGTTCCCACCCTCAAGGAGCCCCAGTCAGATTAGGAAGACTCAAAAATAAATACGAAAATGACTGAAGATGCTTACAAAACAACATGCAGGTGGGTCTCCCTCATTTTATGCAATTCCTACAGCCCTAAAAAGCTGATTGTAAATCAAAAAATAAATAAAATCAATGTCCCAGAAAGATTAGGCTAAGGAATCCTGTAGTAAATCTTTACATAAAGCAAAGTCATTCTGATAAGTAAATCATCCCTCCTAAGTGTACATTCTGTGTTAATCTCAACTGTGATATATAGGATTTGCTGAGAAGAGGCCCACCTGTAAATGTGAGAACAAATGAATGTCTATTCATGCAGAGACTGCAGACGAGGGGTGGGGAAATCTGGTGAGGAACAGCCTTGAGTCAAAGGATGGTCACTGCTCCATGTGGCTGCCCCACCCCTGGAAGGACAGAAGATGTAGGCCCCTGGGTCTAGTTCCTTACCTCCAAGCCCCCCTCCTCACCCTCCCAACCTTGGGCAGAGTTCTTTCCCTTATTTCTCTAATTCTCTAAGAATTTTCAAAAAACATTAATTTTGAACAACTTGTGAGGATTTAACAGTAAAGATAAAGATTGAGAAAGACATTAGGAGTGAAAAGAGTAAAGAGTAAGAGAGCTAATAAAATACAGAACAAGAATTGGGAAGGTTACAGAAGGAACAGCAGAAAAAATACATGAATTTGAGTAGCTTCTCTAAATCTTCACCCCCACTCCCATGAATTATACAAACAGAATAGGGCACTTAAACTGGGCAGGCAGAGAACATAGAGAGCAGAATACCTGGGTCATCTCCCGGATGGACATTACACTATCCAGAGCTTTCTGAAGCCGCTCATAATTCTTCTTCTGTAGAGAATCAATGGGAAGAAAAGAATCAGATGAAGAAAAGTAGAAGAGAGAGAAAAGCATAGAAAATCAAAGTAGGATGTACAAAGACCTCTAAGAGGGCTTAAGGAAACAGACTTGTATGCTTTAGAATGAATACAAGTTTAATGTCAGTTCTGGAATCACATGCTAGTTCAAAATAACAGGGTAAGTGACTTAACCTCTTAGAATCTTAGTATCCCTGCTTAAAAATGATGGCTTTTCAGTTGTGCGTGTATTTTGCTTTTTTTTTTTAATTTTGTAGTGCTACGGAAACACTCTACCACCAAGCAAAACCTCCAGCCCCTATTTGCAAATAAAAATAGCAATCCCTACTACCCGTACAGAAATGTTTTGAGAATTAAATAATGTATGTAGAGAAACTAGTATAGTGTCTGACAAAGCAATGATAGTAACAGTGATAAACTGTCATATATATATGTACATATTTTTTAAATATTTATTTATTTATTTATTTTTAGTTTTCGGCAGACACAACATCTTTGTTTGCATGTGGTGCTGAGAATCCAACCTGGGCCGCACGCATGCCAGGCGAGAGCACTACCGCTTGAGTCACATCCCCAGCCCCTGTCGTATATATTTGTGATGGTTAATTTTATGAGTCAACTTGACTAGACCATGGGGTCTAGACACTTGATCAAACAGGATTTCTGGGTATGTGAGGGTAGTTCAGATTAACATTTGAATCAGTAGACTGAGTAAAGCAAACTGACCTTCCTAATGTGGATCTCAATCAGGTAACTAAAGACTTGAAAAGGCTATAACAAAAAGGCTAACCTTTCCCCACTCCACAAATTGAATAATAGTGTAATCATCCTGTTTGAATTGGAATAACAATCTTTCCTGCCTTTAGATTTGAACTACAAAATGGCTTCTTCTTGAGTCTGATCACTCTCAGGCGTCTGGTCTGGGACAGCAACTATACATGTGACAGGTTTTTTTTGAGTCTCCAGCATGCTGACTATGGATGTTGGGACTTCTCAGTCTCTGTAATTATGTGAGGCAATTCCTTATAATAAATTTCTCTCTTTCATTCTCTTATTATATATATTTATATTAGGTTCCCTCTGGAGAATCCTAATATGGTACTTTACATACATTATCTCTCATTTTTATGACAATCCACAAAGTAAATACTATCCACTTTTATAGGTAAGAAAACATTAATGCCATCCCTGACACCATTCAACTACAGAGCACCAGAACTTCAAATAAAATCCATGTCTGTCTGGCTCCAAAGTTTATAAAATTCTTCCCATAATAATTTAACTAATATGAATTCTTCTCCCCTTCTTCTGATGAACTCAGCTGACACAGCTAAACACTAGGATTCAAGAGTTCCCAAGAAACAGTTGTTCCATTTCTTCTGTCCCTTATCCAAGCTGTTGTATATGCCAGAATGGCAGTCTATAGTCTCCCACTATCTCTTATTATTTCTGTTATTTATCCCTGACTTTCTCCCCAAGCAACTGTACCTTAGGGTTAAAGGCCAGAGTCTTGGGATCAGTGGGGTCCACCACGGAGGGGTAAGGCTCAAAGATGATACTCTTTCTAGGGGATTCCAAAGCTGCCCTACACATGGCCACCAGCAGATCCACCACCTTAGGGCAAAGAAAAAAGGGGCAAAGCTTAAATAATTGCTCAGTTCTTGAAGTCCACGGCATCTAACATTTCTCTATTCTGTTCTTTTTAAAAACATATTTTCCTGCTGTTTTAATTAGAAAATGCAATCTGATTATATAGATTTAAGTAATAAAACTATGAAAAAATTCAAGTAATAACAAAGTTTTGATTAAAGATAAATATCATCCACCCACAAACAAATCTCATTTCCTCACAAGTAAATACTAATTAAGTTTGATGTAGATCCTTCCAGATATTTATTACTATGTAAATAGTTTTTTCTTTTCATTTTTTTTGTGCTGAAGATTGAACCCAGGGCCTCATGAATGCCAAGCATGAGAAACTCCTGAGCTCAATCAATCCTCCTGACTCTACTTCCCAAGTAGCTGAGACTGAATACAAGCACATATTACCATGCCTAGCTTTATATTTACTTTTTTATATAACTATGTTACATCTTTCTATCCATAAATAATAAGTATAGAGTATTTCTACTATAAGGGCATACCATAATTTCTTTAACTGAATTTTGTATAGTTGGTGTTGTATTCATTTTTTCTTATAAACTTTATAACTTAGTGAACATCCTTACATAAGAAATCATTTTTGGAGGTTAAATTCCAAGGAGTAAAATTGCTGGGTTCCCTTGACTTTCCTGATCCCAATTCCTCAGCTGCTTTTCCCTCTCCTCATACCTCTGCTCCAGTAGCCACCTCCTCTGCAGCTCCAGACATGACTCCCAGTGTGTAGAAGGAGAAGACACACAGTTCACGAGTACAGACAGCTGGCTGAATGAACATATTCAACAATACAATATAGGTGTAAGTTATGCAATGAGAAAATGTAAGGAGAAACAGGTCCGACCCTAGACCACTGCAGAATAAGGTAGAAATTTGGGGTCCTTTGTATCAGGAGAAAACCATCAAAAAGTATTATATCTAATTAAAATGCCTTACTAAAAAGTTTGAGAGTTAAGTCATCTACCTATGAACCATTCTCTGACCTGTCAGGTAGTCAGATAATTCTTCCAAGTTTCCATGACACTGTTTGTATCTCTTCTATACATTTAGCATATACTATGATTTATAATTGACTATCCACCCATCTAGACTTGGGAGTTCCAGAGGATAGTATTGTATCCACTCATCTTGTCAATATCTGATTCCTATTTTTAAATGCTGCATGGGAACTATTTCCTCAAGGTCATTATCATATCCTCATCTCTCCAAACATGATTAGACTTCTTTTCTGAGAAAAGCAATTCTAGAGTCTCTGGGGACAGAATCCCTTCTTTACCATAGGCCCAGGAAGAAAAGAGAGATGAGAAGTAAATGAAGGGGTCTTGGCGGAGGAAAAAGGTCACAGGGTAGGAGCCTATACCTTAAGCATGGAACCATTTTGGAAGACATGCTGCTCATCACACACCACACAGTACTCATTCAATGTTGGAATCCTCTGCTCTGCATATTTCATGATCTGGAGAGAGAACAGATGTCTACATATTTTAGAGGTTCACGCACAAGTATAGAAAAAATTTTTTTAGATGCAGGAAATAATTTACGCTGCATTCTAGCTATTCTCCTCCCTTCCAGCCATTTGCCTAAAGCAGAATCGATTCTTGGGCATTGCACTTATTTCAACTGATGCCTCTACTTCAGAGCTAAATCTGTATATTATTATAAAAATAAAACCTGACATGACCTTTGATTTAAAGTCCTGAGTTAATAACTGACTTCTACTTCTTAGTATCAAATGTAACTATGGATGGCAGTTAATCTATGCCTTCATTTATAAAGTAAGATAATATTCACCTCATCGGGATATTGCAAAAAGTAAGGTTATCTTCATGAAAGCATTTCATAAGCATAAGCAAGTGCTAATTAAACTAGTAACAGCAGATGTACTCACTACAGACTGCCCTTTAGTATAGGTGAGTATTCAATCCAAGATCAGATTGCAAGGGGACCTGAAAAGACTTCAACTACCTAGACAATTAGCCAATTCACTGGTCAAAATCACCAACAAAATTCTGTGCTGGGTTCAGGCTTGGTCACATATGCCTTTAATCCCAGCAACCTGGGAAACTTTGAGACAGGAGGATTGCAAGTTTGAGGCCAGCTTTAGCAACTTAAGGCAGCTCTCAGCAAGTTAGTAAGACCTTGTCTCAAAATAAACAAAAAAATGTGCTGGGGCTGTAGCTTAGTAGTAGAGCACCCCTGGGTTAAATCCCCAGTACACACCCCTCAAAACTAAATAAAAAGAAAAAAGAATTCTGTGCTGGGAAGGTAGTACAAATTGAGAATTCATGCAGAAATATCCTAATATGTTTTTCCTAGCAATGCCTTAACATACTGTTTGTGAATAAATCAAGTTGTCCCATTTCACATGAGCTGGTAACAGAAATGGAAGGGGTTTTACTAATTCATTTAATGCAGGTTTTTTTAAATGCCTACTATGTACTCAGCTCTGTAAAAGGTCTCTTTTACTATGTTATCAAGAAAGATTGTCTCAGATGCTAGACTCCAATAGGGGAGATGTGGTATGTCAACAAAATTCCTTACAATGGTATGTGACATATGGTATGTGACACAGAGATGTTACATAAAACAAAAAGGATCATGCAATGGAGTAATGAAGATTATAAGGAAAAGACATTTGTGAACCTTGATTGCAACAGGCAGACATGGGAGGAAGGCCAGTGGAAGGAATAACATAAAAAAAGATAACAGAGATATAAAAGTGAAAGCTCAAAGAAGTAAAGAGATTTTTGAAAGATGTAAATGATCAGCATTGGCTTAGCAGTGAAAAACATCTTTAAGGAAACTGAAGATCACTTAAGCAAGGGATTTGGGGACTGCAAGAAAAATTAGTGTCAATACCTCTCTTAACACTTTATATAATCTGTATACGGGGTAAAAATGGGAGTTCATAACCCACTTGAATCAAAGTGTGAAATATGATATATCAAGAACTATGTAATGTTTTGAGCAACCAATAAAAAAAAGAAAAAAAAAACACTTTATATACTTAAAATTCACAGTATATTTGTACCCGATCCTAAATGTTTCCAATAATTCTGTAAGTTTTTTGTTTGTTTTAGTCCTAATATTGGGGATTAAACCCATGCTGAGAATACATGAGGTTGGGAACTATATCTTCTCTCTTTATCCATTCAATACTTATTAGTATAGTTCTGGGAACAAAGCAACTCAGGAAATATTTAACTGACTAAAAGAGCAGTGCGATTTTAGGGGATCATATGGTCAGACAATAAGTAAGATGTTTGGACTGAAGCTTTAGACCTAATTACCTGGACAAGGAATCCATACTCCAGAGTGGGAATGTTCTTGCAGTGACCACTGACCTGGTGGAAGTAAAAGACAAGACCTCATAAATCTTTTATGAAGCAGGGGCCTCTAAAGACCTCACTGACCCATCACCTAGGATTTTCCTAAAATTACTAAGTCCTATTTCAAAAAAAGCAACCTCAAAGCTGGAGAGATTTTTTTTTTTTTTAGACATTTTTTGCCAAAGATTCTAGACTAGTGTTAACTCATCTTTAATCCTTTCCAAAGTAGATGGAACAGATCAGTATAGAAGTTAACTACCAAGTTAACCACAGTCTAATAAAATCAAACATGACTTGCCCATCTACAGTCTCTCTCTGGTTTATGGCCTACTACCAGAGAAGGCAGTCAGACAGTTTAGATCTATGTTTCAACTATTAAAAAAATGTGTGCCATTCTACTCACTCATAATACATTAATAACCCCACCCCATTTTGAAAAGCTACACTCCCACATTTCCAATCCCACCCTCCTGATACCCAAGTCAAATCCTCCCCAGCCCATGTACCAAAGGAGAGGTCCGTGCTGGGGGAGGGAGGCCCACGTGCTGAGGGCACAGGAGACCTGCCTGAGGGCTGGGAGGGTAGCCAAACACCTCCACTTTGGGGTTCTTCATGGTACAGGAGATGGAACGATTCATGAGGCGCCCAACTCGTAGCTCTGGTACACCCAGTTTGCCTTTCAGCATGGAGTCCTGTATGATGGGGAAACTGGGAGACCTAGAGAGTGAAGGTAAAAAGAACTGATAAAAATGAAGACTCAGTATGAACCCCAGAAGGGGACTGTAGAGAAGTAGGTCCTAGGCCAAAAGTCTAAGCCAAAGACAAAAAACTCAAAAAGGGGTACATTCCACTGGATCCACTATGAGAAAAAGTGGATCACAGTATTGGATTTATATATTTTGGTACTGGGGATTGAACCCAGGAGCATTCTACCACTGAGTTACACTCAAAACCTTTTTATTTTTGAGACAGGGTCTAGATAAATTGCTGAAGCTGCTTCAAACTTGCAATTCTCCTGTCTCAGGCTCCCAAATGGCTGAATGGCATGCACCACCACACCAACTAAATGAATTGATTTGTACCTCATTACCTGTACCTTTTTCAGATTGGGACATGAAAGGGAGGTAAAGGCAAAGTTTAGGCATTAACACCAGGTCTGAAACAATCCCTTGGAGAGGAGACCTGTTCATTTACTCTCTGTCATAAAAGAGAAGGATTAAGTGCTACACACTGGCAAGAAGTAGTTGTATCCTGAAGAGCTTAATATCAACTATCTGACTGTCAATAATGGTGCCCGAGAAGCTACAAACCTAGGTTTGTGTCTGCCTTTGGGAAGATCAGAAGATAACCAAGAAGGAAACAATGTATATCTAGGGTCAAAGAATGGAGCAATATTTATTTCCAGCCTAGATAATAAATCAATGGGCCCTTGCATAAGAGCCAGGAGTTGGTGCCTATTCCATAACTCTGCCTCCTTAGGACAGGGAATAAGGATAAGAACCAAAGGAAGACAAGATGGAAAGATCAGCATGCACATCTCCAAAAATATTACCGTGAGCTCAGAATTATTGTATTTTACATACAGGATGAGGTTTGAACATTGGACTAGGAACAGAAGAGTAAGGTCACAAAGGGGACAAAACCATGTGAGTGGTATTAGTAGTTAAAGGTACAGAATTTGGAGGACCAAGAAAGAAGACAGAAAAAATTATTTCATGTATTCCAGAAGATGGGAATGAGGCTAAAACAAGATTGAGGTGATGACAGACGATTAGCTAAGGGGGTTCTTACTTGGGGATGGGTGAGAAGATGCTGAGGCCAGCTCGGAACTTCTTGATGGTGCCACTTGCCTTGAACCAACTGTGCCTCTTCTCCTGCTGGGTCTTCAAGAAATCGTTGCTCAGATGTTTCCATTGTTGGGATGTGAACATACCCAGGATCCTGAAGAATCAAAGAGAACAGGTTTAGGCAAGATCAGGCAAAGGAGAAGGTCAAGAAATAGGAAATAGGCAAGGCAAATAATCTAATTCCAAAGACTGCAAAACTAATTGTGATAGTGGAATGTGTGCTTGAACACCTGCCTTGAGGTGACCTTAGCACATGGAAATTACTATCTTAAATGCCATCCTAAATGAGGCGCCCAACTTGTAGCTCTGATTCACCCAGTTTGCCTTTCAGCATGGAGTCCTGTATGATGGGGAAACTGGGAGACCTGGAGAGTGAAGGTAAAAAGAACTGATAAAAATGAAGACTCAGTATGAACCCCAGAAGGGGACTGTAGAGAAGTAGGTCCTAGGCCAAAAGTCTAAGCCAAAGACAAAAAACTCAAAAAAGGGGTACATTCCATTGGATCCACTGTGAGAAAAAGTAGATCATAGTACACTCTCCCATTGACTATGTAAATGGATCAGAAAAATTCTGAAATACTTTTTGCACTTTCAGGGAGATCTCAAAGGTGAGCCTTCAAAGGCTGTGAACCTGAAATTTACTGCCAAGAATGACTATAGTGAAAGAAGAACAGAGATGGGAGGACAGAATTAAGTACCACACTCTGCCTTGTGAATAGTGAAGAAAAGAACTAGGAACATAAAAGATACTGACATTGTTAGATGAAAAATTACATCCCGGGCTGGGGTTGTGGCTCAGTGGTACAGTGCTCGCCTAGCATGTGTGAGACCCTGGGTTCGATCCTCAGCATCACATAAAAATAAAATGAAGATATTGTGTCCAGCTAAAAAAATAAATATTAAAAAAAAAAAAAACCACTACATCCCCAAATTTACAGTTTCCAGAAAGGTGGCACATGCCTGTAATACCAGCAACCTGGAAGACTGAGGCAGAAGGATCACAATTTGAGTCCAGAATCATGACTTCACAAGACCCTGTCTCAAAATCAAATTTAAAAAGACTAGGGATTTAGTGGCTAGAATATGTGAGGTCCCAGGTTTAATCCGAAGTATTTCAAATAAAGAAATACTATAATTATAGTTTCCAACTCCCAGACTTGTCAGTCCTTTCACTTGTCCTTGAACAGTTTTATCATTTCTGATACAATATAATTATTCAACTTCTCAAGTTTCTAATTTCAACCAAAGCCAACAATCTCTTTCCCTTCTAATTAGAGAAAGCCATCAGATATCAGCTCCTTTAATTTTTCTAATCCTATTATAATACCTATTTCCACCCTGACCTCAATCCCTCCACTCTCTGGACCAAAGTGACATCCTATTTAAGACAATTTCTCTATTTGTGCTCTATCTCAGCCCCTTCTTGCCTTTTTAGGAACCTCAATCTATCAATCATTCCTGTCTCTTGTTGGTTCCTTTCCCAAAAAATTTCAACTTTCTGTACCTCAGTCTAAGTATCTCATACTTTTCCCCTTCTAAACTCATCTAAATTTCCCAATTCATAATTATTGTTTCTACTTTCTTGCCAATCATTCAATTCTCAAATTACTGTGGTTCCTACCTTACCATTCCATTAAAATTGTTCTCATTGTTAAGCTAAATCAAATGGAAACTTCAAAATTCTCCTCTTAACAGATCTTCACTGGCATCTGACCCTCAATAAAGAAGTTGTCTTGCCTTATCTTCTGTGATACCATTCTTCTCTGACCTACCTTTAGTGTTTCTTCTTTCTCTTGGGTTTCCTGGGTATTCTGTGTAAGTGTTAAAAGGTATATTACCTTTGATTCTATTTTCTTTTCTATCATGTTCTCCCTTTAGCTATCTCATATTCACTGGTTTTAATTTCTATCCACACGCTGATGACTATCTTCAACCCTAAACTCTCTTATACATAACAAACTATACTTCATATACACACTGTATATGAGCCATCTCCATTTTCATATCCTAAAGTTACCTTTAATATGTTTAAAATTGGATTATCACCTGAGCATAGTGGCACACATCTATAATCCCAGTAGCTCAGGAGACTGAGGCAGGAAGATCATGAGTTCAAAGCCAGCTTAAGCAACTTAGCAATGCTCTGAGCAACTTTGTGGGACTGCCTCAAAATAAAAATATAAAGGCCTGCGACTGTGACTCAGTAGTTAAGTGCCCTGGGTTCAATACCCAGTTTCAAAAAGAAACTGGTGGTTGGCGGGGGTATCTATTCTCATGCTACAAATCTGCTATTTTCTTTTCCTTGTGGTGTTGGAGGCCTGAGCCAGGCATGTACTAGGAAAGTGCATTACCACCGAGTTACATCCTAGTCCATGCTCCTCTTCTTATATCCCTATTTAAATTGGTGGCATCGGGCTGGGGATGTGGCTCAAGCGGTAGCGCGCTCGCCTGGCATGCGTGTGGCCCGGGTTCGATCCTCGGCACCACAT